GCTCGCAGCTCCTGCACAAAATGGGGTTTATGATCGGTTCTAAAATCCCAAATCCTGACCCCAATCCTGACACCGAGGCCGCCCGCAGCTCCTGTGGGGAAATTGGGGTTAGGATTGTCCTAAAATCCCAAATTCTGACCCCAATTCTGATACCGAGGCCGCCCGAAGCTCCTGAAAGGGAAATTGGGGTTAGGATGGTCCAAAAACCCCAAATTCTGACCCAAATTTTGACCCCAGTCCTGACTGCAGCTCCTGCACAAATCCTGGTTTAGGATTGGTCCTAAAATCCCAAATCCTGACCCAAACCCAATCCTGACCCCAATCCTGACACCGAGGCTGCCTGCAGCTCCTGCGGGGAAATTGGGGTTAGGATGGTCCAAAACCCCCAAATTCTGACCCAAATTCTGACCCCAATCCTGATACTGACGCTGCTCACAGCTCCTGCAGAAAATGGGGTTTAGGATTGTCCCCAAAATCCCAAATCCTGACCCCAATCCTGAAACCGAGGCCGCCCGCAGCTCCTGCACGGAAATTGGGGTTAGGATTGACCTAAAACCCCAAATTCTGAACCAATTCTGACACTGAGGCCGCCCGCAGCTCCTGCCGGGAAATTGGGGTTAGGATGGTCCAAAAACCCCAAATCCTGACCCCAATCCTGATACTGACACTGCCCGCAGCTCCTGCGGGGAAATTGGGGTTAGGATGGTCCTGAAATCCCAAATTCTGACCCAATTTCTGACCCCGAGGCTGCTTGCAGCTCCCGCCATAGAAATTTGGGTTTAGGATGGTCCTAAAAACCCAAATCCTGACCCCAATTCTGACCCCAATCCTGACTGCAATTCCTGCACAAATCCTCGTTTAGGATTGGTCCGAAAATCCCAAATCCTGACCCCAAACCCAATTCTGACCCCAATCCCGACTGCAATTCCTGCAGAAATCCTGGTTTAGGATTGTCCTAAAATCCCAAATCCTGACCCCAATCCTGACACCGAGGCTGCTCGCAGCTCCTGCACGGAAATTGGGGTTAGGATTGTCCAAAAATCCCAAATCCTGACCCCGAGGCTGCTCACAGCTCCTGCCAGGGAAATCTGAGTTTAGGATCAGTTCTAAAATCCCAAATCCTGACCCCAATCCTGACACCGAGGCTGCCCGCAGCTCCTGCCATGGAAATCGGGGTTTAGGATTGTCCCAAAATCCCAAATCCTGACCCCAATCCTGATCCCGACACCATTCACGGTTCCTGTGGAAATCTGGGATCAGGATCCATCCCAAAATCCCAACCCCGACCCCGATGCTGATCCTGATCCT